AGCTCTCCTAGGCTCAGCTGCCCCCAGACTCATCTGCCTCAGAGCCACCCAAGCCCCCAAACGGCTGGGCTGGAGTTCTGGGTTTGAATCCTGGCTCTGGGCAAGTCACCCCAGCCCTGGGATGTGACATGGGAAAATGTCACTCCCTGTTCAGCGCAGGTCTGGGGGCAGCCAGAGAATGAGCCACACGGTCAGGTGTGGCTGGCCCATGCTGACCTGCGCCATCCCAGCTGAGCCCCGAGGTAGCGGCGCTTCCCGCCTGGTCACAGATAAACACAGGCTGACAGGACATGCCCACTGTCCGTCGTTCATGGCAGCTCCGGACGAAGTCCCTGGCCAGGGCACCGTCGCCCTCCGTGGCAGGTGGCTCCCAGAGCAGGTGGCTCCCAGGTGCAACGAAGTTAGTGCTGCCCAAGCAGCCAGGGTTTCTGAGCACCTGTGCCGAGCTCCCACTGTGGTCCCTGTCCTGGCAGCGGGCTAAAGGGGGATGGGCAGGAGCTGCAGTCAGTCAGGGTGGCCCACCCCGCCGGACCCCAGACCCCAGGACATCTCAGGAGCTTAGCACTTGGACACCACAGGGGCCCTGCTGCCTCTGTGCCCTGGATGGGTTCCGAAGCCTGGACCTCAGCGTGCTCACCTGGGACGAGGCGAGCGGACGGACCCCTCCCTCGGGCTGCTCCAAGGACTAGCCGGGGAGACGTCGGATGGGAGATGCGGGGACGGCATCCGGCCCCCACTTGGCCCGGAACAGTCTGTTCTCAGACACCCCCTCCCCGACCCTGCAGTTCGGCCTCAGCTCCTGCGTCATGTCTGTCTCTGGGCCCACAAGCCCCTGTAGCCCCTGTCACACGCAGATGCGGCAGGCGGTTGCCCTGGCGACAGCTCAAGCAGTGGCTGCTCCACTGGCTTTGGGGGGCTGTTGGGAGGGGGAGCAGCCTCTTTCACTTGGCTAGAAAGAGGATGGCAGCTTCCGGAAGCACCATGCCCGACCTCTGGGACCCCGTCTTTGGGGGGAGGCTCACAGAGGAAGGCACTGATGGGTCTGAAGGAGGTGAGTGCCGTCCCCACAGGGCAAGAGCCCCGCAGGCCCCCTCCTGTCCTCAGCTCCTGGGCCCGGCCAGGTGAAAGCGCTGTGAGCCCAGGGCCCACGGCTCGCTCAACCGGCTGGAGCATCAGGAACAGGGTGAGGCGTTATTGGGGGTAGAGGCGGAGCTGGGGGCACAGAGCAGGCATGGTGACCCTGGGCCACCACAGACGGACCTCGGAGCAGGGAGCTTATCCAACATCTGCTTAGGACCACCAGTTGCCGGGTGTGCACGGGCCCAGCCCCCCACACCTGGCCTGATTCTGGGGAGGAGACAGCAGGGGATGGTGACAGAGCTGGTGACAACACGGCCCAGGGGCTGGTCTGGCAGGCAGGCAGGGCAGGAACGTCAACCTGCCCTCCCACCCCCAGCTGCCGTGAGCTCCTGGGCAAGGGGTTGGACCTGCTCAGGCTCTGTTTCCTGCCTCGTCAGATGATGACAGTGGCCCCTGCCAGGGTGGGCGTGCCTGGCCCAAGCACCCTCACTAGGTGGCCGGGTGGGTGCCGTCAAGGAAAGGGGGCCCATCAGCCGTGCACGGGCCTGTGTGGGGCGGGGGAGCACGGGGTGTGCTGTGAGCCAGAGGCCGGCAAGGCTGGGGCAGGTGGCAGACAAGTTCAGTGCGAGCAGGGCCGGGCCCAGGCCGCACGCCTCAGCAGAGGGCCACTCTGGCCGGGTAGGATGCAGCGGGGGTGTGTGTGTGTGGGGGGGGGGCTTGGTTGCCATGGCAACGTGAAGGCGATGGAAGAGGATGAGCCCGGAGGGCGTGAGAGCCGCTGGGGCTGACTGTAAGGGGCAGGTCCTGCTCCCTGGGGCACTGGCCCCGGGTGTGCTGACGGGGCCCTGGCGTGAGGGTGAGGCATTGACCGCAGCTGTTCCCGGAGGGTGAGGACCCCGGGGCGGCCCCCTCTGGGGCATCCTGGCCATGTGAGCCCTGGGCACGTGGGCTGAGGCCCAGGCCACAGGTTTCCTTGCTGTCCAGGTGACAGGGCCCCACTGTGCCCTTCCCACCTGTGCCCTGCCAT